ACGCGCAGCGTCTGGCCCTGCAGCCCTGCAGGCTGGCCAAACCTACGACGAAAGCCTCCCGGCCTTGAAAATCAAGGAGGCCGTGGAAGATGTCGATGGCCCAAGCCTGGTGTGTTCGCAGTTTGTTGCAGGGACTTGCGAGGGTTTGGAGCGCTGCCTCCCGAGGTAGACGATTTGAAAAAGGTCCAGAGCTGAGTGTGTCAGTTGCTGTGTTCTGTGATAGCAAGCCGCGACGTTGTGAAGGCCATCAGAAAGGAGAATCCTAGCAGCATTGCTTGCGATGCCTATCAACTTTTGATTTACAGCCGCGACAAGGCCCCCCGCAGAGTTTGTAGCTTTTGCTCACCTTTGCGATCTTGGCAGTGCTCCCGCCCGGCATCCCGCAGGACGGGGAGTGGAGGCAGGAGGAAGAAGACGCCGCGGTCAGCCGTGGTGCAACGAAGCCGTACGCTTACATAGCGTTTTCACAAAAGTCGATTTGTTGTTGGGTGTGGTGCCCTTGCAGCCGTAGTTGCAGCCCAGGTCTGACAGTTATGGCTTCGTCCTGCCCGACACGAGCCAGCCAGGGCCACAGCAGAGCCACTGTTCAGACCCAGGGCTTGTCGCATGTCAGCATTTTGCATTTTTGACTCCCGCTAGTCCAGCGTGTGCTTGGCAGTCCAGTCGGGCCGCCAGCGTGGCAACTGCTCAGAAACTGTTGTTGAGTCCTTGCGCGAGGCCGCTCTCGTGAGCGCTGGGCGGTGTAGAAGCAGAGGTTTCGACAATGCATTCGTTAACGAGTCAACCAAACTCTCCGTGCCATTTCGCAGCGAGTTGCAGTAGCCAATGTTTCAGGGCGGGAAGCTGCGGTTTCACTTCCGAGCGGTTGGCCGGCAAATCCGCTGGGTTAAGCGGCAAAGTCAAGGTGCCAGAACAAACCTTTCCAAGAAATCCTACAGCAGCAGCCCGGCCAAAAGCCCCAGATTTGGCACCTTAGCTCGCTATCACCAAAACTGCGCAAGCAGCCGAAAAAAAGACGGGGCAAGGGGCAGGACCAGAGTGAGGAGCGTAGCAAAGAGGGTTCTTTTTTTTTTGGCCGTGGATGTTTTACGTGGTTGCCTTTGTGTGTTTGTTTGTGTGCGTGTGTGTGGCGGTTGTTGCCTCAGCCCTGTGGCTTTTGGGAACTTGGGGAAAGCGACATGCGCACTCACACCCACAGTTACTGCGACTATCATTAGCTCTTGGAAGACTGCAAACGGCTCCAACAAGATTGCAGGAAAAGCTTCGCCTTTAAATTCCAGAGGCTGCTACTGCGCCTCGTTGGCTGGACGGGCGCATGCTTTGCATATCTGCTGCATCTCTACTGCTCTTTGCTGCTGCTGCTGCTCCTCGTCTGCTACTTCTGCTGCTCGTCTCCTGCATGTCTGTTGCCGTTGGTCTGCTGCCGCTGGTCTGCTGCTGCTGGTCTGCTGCTGCTGGTCTGTTCTGCCTCTCTGTCTGGCCGCGCTGCTCGTCTTTTGCTGGTCGGGAACGGGCCGTATTGTGCTTTTTCCCAGGTTCACCTCCGTATACAAATTGGTCTTTCTTTCAAAGCGCTCGCCTCTCTGAGGTGTTTCCAAGAGTGAAACAGGGCTCAGATGGGCCGTATTGACCTCTTCCAAGCGCTTGCCTCTGAAAGGTCAGAGTGAAGCAGGGTTCGGGAATGGGCTGATGTTCGCTTGTTTTTCGGCTGGGTGAGGGTTGCTTTGGGGCTAAGTTTTGCTAACTTTTTTTGGTTGGCTGGGAGCGCAAACAGTGAGATTTCCATGTACTTCTGCTCCTCTCCCCTAAAACCAGAAGGGGTTTCCAAACGTCGAAGTGCGAGTTAGCTTTTGCTGTTTTCGTCTTTTTTTTGCCCGAGCCCGCTGATGCGCAGCGAACAGTGAAGATTTCCAGGTCCTCCTACTACTCTCCCTTACCAAACGTCAAAGTGCATGTTAGCTCTTGCGTTTTTTTTTGTCCTTTTCGAGCCCGAGCCCGCTAACGCGCAATGGAAAGTCAAGACTCAGGGCTTCCGCAAACTCCCACCTAAAACCAAGGAGGGGGTTTCCAAACGTCAAAGTGCGTGTTAGCTTTTGTTCTTTTCGTTGTTTTGAGCCCGAGCCCGCTAACGCGCAGCGAATAGTTAAGACTTCCAGGACTTCCGCTTACTCCCACCTAAAACCAAGGAGAGGGTTTCAAAACGTCAAAGTGCGTGTTAGCTTTTGTTCTTTTTCGTGTTTTTCGAGCCCGAGCCCGCTAATGCACGAACAATCACGACTTCCAGGGCCTCCGCCCACTCCCACCCCAAACCAAGCACGGGTTTCCAAACATCAAAGCATGTTCGCTTTTGCTGTTTTTCGTTTTTTTTTGAGCCCGAGCCCGTTAATGCACAGAGAACAATCAAGACTTCCAGGGCCTCCGCCCACTCCCACCCCAAACCAAGCACGGGTTTCCAAACATCAAAGTGCGTTCGCTTTTGTTGTTTTTCGTATTTTTTGAGCCCGAGCCCACTAACGCGAAGCGAACAGTGAATTTCCAGGCTGCAGTTGCCTTGCAGCTTCCCTGTGTGTTCCCTGACCCCTTCCAGGAAGCACGCGGCGAACAGTGAAAACTTCCAGGCTGCTGAAGCTCCATCCCCACTCCCCACTCCCTGGCCCCCTTCCGGGAAGCACGCAAACAGTGAAAACTTCCAGGCTGCAGGAGCCTTGCAGCTCAACTTCACTCTCACTCCCCTCACCCCTTCCGGAAAGCTCGCAGCAAACAGTGAAAACTCCCAGGCTGCAGCTTGGAGTCCCCTCACCCCTTCCGGGAAGCACGCAGCAAACAGTGAAAACTTCCAGGCTGCAGGAGCCTTGCCTT